CGAGTCCACTGTTATACCTAAAAAAACTGTATCATTAACAAAGTTTACTATTTCGTCATTAAGCAATAACTGTGTATTTATTGGTCTTACATTAGGAAGTGTAAATTTTATACACTTTGTTTTGCTGGAATTTAATAATAGGTTATTACATGTAAACCAATTTAATATAGCAGACATAGCACAATTTACATCGTCTAATTGATTAGTTTGACGTCCAATTTTAAACACTAACGAAGTATCATCCGCAAACAGCACTATATCTGCAATTTTCTCTACCATAAAGGGAAGGTCATTTATGTAAATTAAAAAGAGAAAGGGGCCTAAGATTGACCCTTGTGGAACGCCCATCCCAATATTAGCTCCCTTAGATTTTATACCGTCAATATCTACAGTTTGGACCCTATCCTCTAAATAAGTTCTCATTAATTTTAGATCATTATCTTTTATACCATAATGTTCGAGCTTGTACAAAAGTGTTTTATGATCCACGCAATCAAATGCCTTTGATAGGTCACAAAAAACTCCGAGTGCATCCTGTGACTTCTCCCATGATTGGAAAATATGTGTTATTAGCGCTACACCTGCGTCAGTGGTAGACTTGCCGGCGGTGAAACCATATTGTTGACTGTGAAGCAGTCGGTTATCCCTGAAGTGTTGTAACATTTGATTTAAGATTTAATAGTTATTTATCGCAAAAGAATTTGCATTTTCAAGATTATTAGGGTTAATATATAGATTAAAGAACTTGACCTTTTTTTACTGACATTAGTATCTATACTGCAACCTACTTCATTATACCTACATATGAATACAAATATTTGTCCATTGCAAAGAAACTTATCAGTTAAGGAATCAGCGGATTGTAACAAAAAGAAACTGAACTCTGAATCCATTTGAGAACCACTGCACTTATTTGAGAAATCATTTTTCTTTTAGAAAGGATCATTATTTCAAATACACATTATGTCAATATTATAAAAAAATCATAAAGTTATGAGCCTGAGGATAAAGCCGGGTAGTGCCACTAGTATAAATAGGTATGATCCGCTAAAGAACTTTAATAGGAGTGGCTTTCTTACATTATAAGAAGACGTACGTCGTTTGTAATTGGGACGTTTACTTGTTTTATACTGTGTCAGTTTTACCTGCATAGCATACTCCCTAGAAACCAACACAGTTAATTAATGTGTTAGCTGACCTAATTTCGTAGTCATCCTTTCCTCATGACAAAAAGTCCTCAATTTAAGTTTCACAATTTTTTAATTAATCCTAACAAATACGAGTACTAACAGCTCTGTATAGTTACTTGAAAAAGATAGAAGCAGAAAAGGTGGTAAGTATAGCATTCGCGGTATTAAAAAACAGTTTCAAAGAAACGTAATATTTTTTTCAGGCTTCCACTTTGTTTTTGGTTCTTAAGGAAAGTGGTTTCATTTTATATACATTCTATCTGATATTCGGCTTACTATTAATACTATATATACATTCATTATAATGTTATAAAATAATACACTTCTGAATGCAGTTTAAAACTGTAAGAGTAAAGTTTATATAAGAAGATTGTAACTCAACATAGAGTAGACAGTCGTATCGTTATTACAATCTTTTCCAAACAACTTTTGGGCTTGAGGATAAAAGATTACCTGGTGCTCTACTTAGAGGAAAACAAGTAAACCAATTAATTTCGGAACGTAGTACAAACAATCTACTATAAATTTTATAAATGTTCATTTTTTAAATGTTTGAATGTTTATTACTCAATCGAGCTAATGGACTGCATAATTTTTGTACCTTGTTACAATTACAATTGTATCTTCATAAACTAATAATTATAATGATAAAAAAAGGTGTAAATTGAATTATATATGAAATGTTATAGCTGTATGCTATAACATGTTTTTCTGTCAGAAACGTTCATTATTTCAGAGTGACCTGAGTTCTTTACATATTATAAAAAAAATCACAAAGTTATGAGACGTATATTTACGATCCCCTATAGAACTTTAATATGTGTGGCCTTCTTACATTATTAGAAGACGTACATTGTTTGTAATCATCATTACATAGTATAAAATAAAGTCGCTGTCACTGTTTGTCCCTATGTATGCTTAAATCTTTAATACGCAACGAATTTTGAAGCGGTTTTTTTAATAGATAGAGTAATTCAAGAGGAAAATTTATAAATATAATACATGTAGGAGTAGCTAGTAAAATTATAAAGGTGAAAATTGCGATAAACACTAAATGTTATAGCATAAGTAATGCATTAGTTAAAACTGCATTCGGATATAATAAAAAAATGTATGGCTTACCCAATGGGTAAGCCATACATTTTTTTATTACTTTCAAAATTTAGGGACTTTTGTACAATCTAAATCTATATACCAGTACCATTATACCCTAAAACTAATTACTCCATGAGCTCACCTTAGCCGCACTATATGACTGTAAGCGTACATAAACGCAGAGACTCGCAGTCATAAAATATAATAGTATATATTTTGTCTAAGGTAATCGAGAATATTTATTTTACTATTTAATAATATCACACGACTTATTTACAATTTTAGGACATGTAAAATGATATTAGAGTGCCTCATTTATAATGCGACATCATTTGAAATGACTGAACACGAAACTCAGCTAAAGGAAAACTCGAAATCAAACAATCTCCTAAAATATCCTTGAAATACTGTTTAATCCATGAATACAAAATGATGAGACAGAGTCACGTTTTATTTACTATATTATTATGCTGTAATTACTAAGATCGTGATCATAATCTCCCTATCCTACAAAGCCTAAGTGCGTAGGTTCATACAGGACAGGACACGAATAATTTACGTGTGCCAAGTTAAATTAGCCCGTACGCAGTACTTACTAGTGTTACAAATTGGGCAATGAATAAATAATTGGCTCATGCGTTCTGTGTGAGCCAAGCTCTATCAAACATTCACATTGTGGTTCAAATGACAATGTGTTGGCCAATTTATTGCTTGTAAAAGTAACTTGGTGAAATGATTTAAACTTGCTAGATTTTTAAATTTTAGTCTCGCACTAAGTTTTAAGCGAGAAAGGATGGATTGATGGATAGATCGAAATTTGTTACTCTTTCACGTAAAAACTACTGAATGGATTAAACTTTTCAATAATACAGTTGCAATAAGTTTTGAATCATTAGAATAATATATAGGTTATAAATTTCACGCGAGTGAAACTGCGGGCACAGCTTGTAGCATATAAACGCACAGCCGAATGTAGGGAATAAAATTATAATAAAATTAGTATTTGTTGTGATATTATATCTATGTCGCTATGAAGATTTAATTTTTAGAACTTGAAACTGAAACTAATCGATCTGATGTAGATTAATATATTTATTTTTTATTTCTAAGTTAGATTAATTAATATTTTTGGTAATATTAAAAATATTAACTGTACTTTCAACGTGGACGTACTTTATCATTATAATACCAGTAAGATTAAGACAATAATTAAATATATTTGGTATTATTATCGCAAGCCCTCACTAATATTTAACATTTTATTGTCCATTCCATCAAACTGGTATAAATACATACAACGTTTATGAAGAACAAAACTATAAATGAAAAAAAAAATAATATTAATTAATTTCGCCTAAAACAAAATACTATATGCATATTATGCATGTGCGCCATTACGCTCGCTTTTGCTTAGAAACGTTTTGTATAGCAGTATTTATTATATAATAATTGACAACGGTGCTAGTAACAGTAAAAGAACATTATTTTTTATATAACTCGATTGGCAAACAATCTGACTAATAGCAAATGGCAACCGTTGCTTATAAACATGAACATCATCTACGGTATCACGCCCGAGCGATGCCCGTGTTAAGCGTTCTGTCACCATACTCTGTAATTTCGTTGCTTCATCTCACCCGTCAGCCCGAAATACAGCTGTCTAAAAAACGTCTTTGTACATATTTAGACTCTGATCAATTGGTAAATAAGCTGACGGCCCATCTGATGTTAAGTAGTAACCATCACCTTATACGTTCTACGGATATCACATTATCATATGACACCCGTGATACCACTCTTGTGTTGTTATTCCAGAAGAATGTATCAAGCCTATTTCCCTGAAATTTCACTGATTTAACTGACCCTACAACCCAAACAGTTTGCTGCGGTAAGTAGGTGACACTGACTTTACACGGTTCGAAACCCGACATGGGTAAAAAAACTTTTTCAAAACAAAATAGCATAATGGCGCTCAGCATCTCGCTATGCATCTTGAAACTATTTGACTTGCGATATAATTAAGTTGAAAACCTTCGGCTGTTATAATTAGTAAGATCTTTTATTAATATTTATAGTTCGCTCTCAAGTAGGTATTTTCAATTGCTTATAACTCATTAATAAATTTTGATATATTTATTTATAATGACTGATGGCTCTATTAAATTATAATATAAGTAAATGAAATTAACAAATTTTGTCTTTATATAAATTAGTTCTCTGATCATCATCTAACTCAATTATCAGACCAGTTCACCAAACCAACTGACATACGTATAAAAAATTGTATTAAGTTAGAAGAGCAACAAATGCTTTAAAATAGATTACTTGAGTAAACTAGAGAGAGCACAGACTATAAAACAGCCATAAGTGTAAAAGCTTGTAAAAATTCGAACGTTATTTATCCATTTCGCTTATTGAGACATTTCGACACGTAGGAGTATATTTTTAACTACCTGTCAGAAGCGACTTCGTCTGCTCTTTCTGAGATAAAAGGTTGCCTATGTCCGTCCTCGTAATACAATCTATCTTCACGTTAAATGTCATTAAGATCCGTTCAGCTATTCTGTCGTGAAAAGGTAAGAAAATAAATGTAATGAAAAAAGAGGTAAACTTTTAAGTAATAATATTATTCAGTTATAAGTAATGAAAGATTAATACTTTTCATTAAGTTAACAGAGTAATAATTATTAAATATAATTATTTTAGACAACTTACCGATAAGGTTATAATTTTATCTAACAGCATGACTGGCGGCATGTGGAAATCGAAGACGAAATACTGCGAACAAGAGAAATAAAATTTGATCAGTATCTATAATACTTTGATACAATACAGTACTTGCCTAATACTCATATATCATGAAAATTTATTGCAAAAATGCCATTCGTTGTAACAGTAATTTATAGTGTTGTTCACCAAAGCAGAAGTCTTTCAAATTGATATATAATAATGAAACTCTGTTTCGAATTGACAAAGACATAGAAAAAAGGGTTATATTTTTCTATGATATCACGAAATATGCACAAAATATTGGTATAAATGTCAAATTAGTGGATAGTAGTATTACAATGTCACTTGAAGTTGATCAAACGTGGTAAATGAATAATATCCTTTTTATATCAAAGTAACATTCAGAAAAAGTAATATGATACAAAATAATCGAAGAATTGATGATAAATCTGTTTTGTTATAATCAATAATTATAATTACGGTTATTTGGTTTCTTATTTGACTCTATATTCGGGAAAGTGGAAAGTTAAATTTTGGTGTACATAAATCAAGGATGAAAATTCCATACATCTAATTACGTTCCTTGTAAGCACTTTAATCCATTTACTAAAAGATCAGGATTGAGAGGTGAGAGCCACAAGTACATATACTCGCACATACATAAATGTCGACTTAAAAAAAGTAATATCCAGCGAATCTCTACTTTATTCCGACTGGTACTGAAAACTGAAGAAAAAAGTTGAAAAACGTTTGCCACGTAAGGTAATCGACAAATTGTCCCACCCTATCCCACCTACGAACACCGGCATAAATATATTTCTTTCTATTTGTCACGGCACCTTGGAACTCGGTAAATGATATTACCCAGCTTAAAGATACTGTAGATTTTATTACAAGGTAAATGAGATGTTGAATGATGAAAGATAAGAACCCTTTATCCCGTTTATTGGACCTTCAGGAATTATTTCACTGTTTGCAATTCTATTAGTGTTTGTTGAACTGAATAAATAAAACGGGGCATAATACCTACAACAGAAGGATTATGTTTTATTTGTATAACAATAGTTGGAATCTATGTTACTCGTGTTTTGAATAATAATCTATGAGAGCTGAAGGACCACTTTAAGCGCAGCAAAGGTTTAATACTCGTATATTATTTTATAACTATTACAGATTTTTACATATAACGAGCCTAACTATATCGTTATAACTTAAAAGCACCAACAAATGTATTTTAAAAAATTGTCTGAAAACTATATATATCGCGAGTGGCTTCACTGTATTTTTACCCCGATTACTTAAAGCTCCTATACTCGTAGCTTGAATACTGAGGCCTTGAATGAACAACAACGTAAAATTTACTTGTTACAATCGATCAACAATAACATATTGATTAATTTGTATAACATACATATTTAATGTCTATTCTAATAAACCCTAATACATATCGATAATTATGAGTCGACTACTCATTGTTGAACACAAGTAATAAAATTAACTAGTACCCACCTCGTTGTAATATGGACAATTGGTGCTCTCTTTCACGCTGGTGTATTTCCGCTGATCAGCGATCTGGATGCACACAACTGGGTCCATGTTAAGTCCAGCCAGTTGACGTGCCTCAATTATAGTGATGCATACTTGAAAGTCAGCAGCTTTAAGCGGAGAACTGCCAGATACAGTGAAGTTATTACGTCTAAAACAAAATACCTATTATTTAATACAAGCCACCAGAGTAACAACTATTAATAAAAAATAATAGCGACCAGTATCTCGTACTGGTCGGGGAAGAGATTACTTATAGGGCATGAAAGTATCTAGTCCTCCATTATAAATAAATAATAATAAATAACCCTGGACAATTAACATAGCGCCATCCGGTCCCACAGTAAGCAGAGCTTGTGTTATGGGTACTAGATAACTGATATAAATACATGGGTATTTTTTTTTTATAAATACATAAATACAAAAAACACCCAGATCGATACAAACATCATACACCGAGCGAGGACTCGAACCCGCGACCATCGGAAGTAGAGCGGACACTCAAACTGCCGAGGCTGTCATTATAGCAACGCATGAGTGCGACAAGCATCACAAGATGACGTATGTACGTGGTATTGTTCATGTGTTACCATCTCCTTCCAATCTAATTTCTTTACCATTCCAACGCATATCGAATTTACGTGCTAAAGTTCGAACCTCTAGTGGTACCATTAGACTGAAGTATCTGTTAGGCGAGAGTCAACCTTCAGCCATTCCTTAAGTTCTTAAATATCATTAGGTTGTCGTCGGCTTAATTAAACATTAATGCACTTCATTAATCTCAAAAATAAATTACAACAATATATACTTACATTCTTTTCTTGTTAACCATTTCCGTTGTATCGACCAACACCTCTTCAGATGATGCCGAAGTTTGACTTATAGGACGGTCAGGTTCGGAAGACGGTCCAGGCATACATTCCAGTAGATTTTGCTCTTCATCACCGATGCTATAGCGACGATGTGCGCGTCCAAATCTCATTAGACTTTTCACATTCTTAAACGCGGAAGTTTTCTTGCGCTCGGGACGTTCATCTGCTGTTGGCATTACTCTCTGCGCCCCGCCTATAGTGAAACTACGTCTGTTGACAAAATGCAAAAAAATCATTAATGACACGAATTATTAACAACTAGCAACCGACCCTTGCTTAGCGCGGAATAAGATATTTTCCTGCTGTAGGCTCTATGCCTATAATTAAAGTTACACCTACTTAATTTACAATACAATGAAAACTGCATTCAATTTTATAGAGTAAGTTTTTTCATTTCATTCATGCGTGTACAGAAATAACAGACTGACTGATGAACAAAAACTCAAAACCTGTTCAATCTTTCTTTTCACAAGAGGGCGCTTTTGTGAAAATAAAAATAAATTGGATAGAACCATTTGCATTTATAATATTAAATCGCTTTTGGAAGAATCTTAAATTGTTTGAATACGGATTGACGCAATTATAAAAATAAATGTTAATATTTTCAAGACTAAATTAAATAAATTAAACTCAAATGTACATTTCGAATTACAGTCGTTATTTATAGCTGAGGGATTTCCTTAATGTTTATTCTCTAAACAGTTATAAGTGTTATTACAATCTTTATAGCTTTATAAATACCGTTTATTGGGCAAAATTTGTTACTCAAGAAAAATAATAGGAACACGGCTTAATGTAGAATGAATTATCTATTTCGTTTAATAAAATCTTTAATTTGTTTTAAATATTTACATTATTATAAAAATATAAACTGATCGAGGCTTGATATTATAAAAAAGTCTTAACTGTCTTATTTCGTTTACTAACACGGTTTAAACTTTATTTCTTAGCATGGCAACACATGAGTGCACACTGTGAAGAAATTGAGATTGTTTTTAAGCTTTTGCTTTGAATGTGTTCGTTAGAAGAAAGAAACAACATTTGACATGTGTTATTATTTGACAATGGACATTGTCTTTAATTTTTGTTATTTTACATTGTAAAACTTTATGTTGGGCTAAAAAGGACTCGTATCCAGAGCCGTAAAATATTAATAATAAAAAAAAGGTATACCAATATATAGTATATAAATAACGGTTTGTTATATGGGTAATAGTATGATATACTCAGTAGTCAAAGGATCTTTATTTACGTACAAGAACTCACATCAATGCCAATTGAATGAATTTAATCTAATTTACTGGAATTAAGGACGTTTTTCTAATTACGATATTGAAAGCGCTGGGAAATAAGACTTACTTGAGGAGGCGTTTTCCTGCAATCTTAAGCTTGCGAGCTCTGGATTCGTCGCTAGATTCTATATCAACTACCACTTCTTTGTTTTGTAAAGAACGCTCCAAGTTCGCTATATTCCGCTCTATGTTTTCAAGGGCATTGTCATCATCGATATCAGACTGGGCATCAGAACTTTGAGAGTGTGGTCCTTCTATAGCAATTACGACAGAGTTACAAGACCCATGAGCCGATGATTGGGCGTTACTTTTAGATGGAACAATTTTGCTGGGACCTGCTATTGCTACTGGAATCCTATCACGAACTCTTGGTGGTATGTAATACACCTCCATATCCACGTACACCTGCGGACAAAAAATATGCCATCATTTTCAACATACATATGTCATAGTGTACTTACTTTTGAGACCAATTGAAGTAGACTTTGTTCTAAATCATCATACATACATGGTACGGTGGCAAATAAAAAATAGTAGTAGTAAAAGTAGAGACTTTTGAGTGCTCTTTTTCATCCGCCAGAGTTTAGACTTTTTATAAAAAAAAGGATAATTATATTTGGAGTACATAATTACTAAAAATACCGTTTGGTACTATTTTTTTACTTATACGTTTTTTACTTATAGTACGTGTACGTACTACGTTTTATCTTTATTATACGAGTCAAAGCTTGTAAGCCTATCTGGGTTTGGAACACAATCGACTGAAGTACTATTCTGAAATACCATTTATTTAAATTTGAATATTACTAAAATTTAAATAAACAATATTTTTCTATAATAAATTATTGATAATGCCATTAAATAAGTAGGTATACATATACGAATATGACCGCTATTAGATGAGGTTTCGATTTCATTACATCAAAAGTTATCCGTTTGTTAGTGTTCGAAGTTTGTTGGTTTGATACGTAAATCGTATAAATAATGATTGTAATATAATAAATAATGGATTATTTAGGAGTGGAGTTTATAAATGGGCTGACGATTAGTTGATTTCAAAAGTTGATATTCGGTGAAATTCTCGGTTAATTGGAATGTTACTTAATTAACAAACAATTTAGAGAAAGTTTTCAGTAAAAGCATCAATTAGATTAGCGATGTTTATTGTAATAGAAACTAGTGGCTGCTTTATTTGTGTGTATGAGCTAATGTTTCGTATTGCGTTGTATTTTGGTTAAACTTCCGATTCACATTGAGGTTATTACTAAATTAGTATTTTAATTACAAAAACAATTACCAAACATATATATTATAGATAGAAAAAATAAAATACTAGAATTAATATGTTAAATTTAAATAATTTAATATAAGAAATTATTAAAAACATTGCTGAACTTTACCTGTCTAGGTGGGTCTCTCTAATAATGAAAATAATTCATAAATATTTAATAATTCATAATTTGTACTATTTACTATATACATATATAGTACAAATTATTGTTATTATCTCTTTTAATTATTTTTTTCTGAGTTGTAACATATTTTAAAAAATATGTAAATAAGGATAAAATATAGATAACATTTGTAATATAAAATATGTCACGCGTTTCAAGTGTGGATTATTGTTATTATTATACTACTGTATCTTTTTTCATTAGTGTAATTGTTATGCTGATACTTTAGAAAAAAATGACTAGGTAACTGATAAAGTTACCAAGTACCAATGGTATCGGAAATTAATGATCTGAAATCTAGATTTGTTTAGTTTCGAACTTTCGTCAACAATAACAACCTCGATAGATCAAATGTCTTTGAAATCATTAGCCTTATTTGATAGAAGTCACAACATTTTAGGATACGAATATTTATCAGCCATTATTTCTTACGATTTGTTCTTAGATTACAATAATATTATTATTTATTTATCTCGTAGAAGGAGAATTGTTACTAAAAGGTTTCATCTATAGTTACTAATTAGGTAACAACAATTTGTCTCAAAGCTTACCTACGAGTACATAATCTGTTTTGTATAGGGTAATATTTCGAGTCTATCTTCTCTTATAACTATGTATTTGTAATTCGAATTTTAATCAAAATAAAAATTATGAAATAAAAATCTTAAAATTGGTTAGTTAAAAAGAACCAGAATATCTTTAATTAGTGACGTCCGAAGCCAGATTTTTGTTAATACATATCATAAGGCGGGAAGAATTCACCTCTTGACTGCCTTAGAGAATGTATTGCAGATATTCGTAATCTTGATACATCCTATGTTTAGCCAAAGAACTTTGCTACACTGAAAGTGGGTCAGTGGGTCCCAGGCGAAGAGCTTATCATCATTAAAATTCAGAGACACAGCCGAAGGGCATTTTTACATTGTTTAGTTTGGATTCTAAATACCGTGCGCGATTTGTCTGTATTATAACCTTAAAGTGGGGTAAATTAAAATTAGAGAACACGGAAGGTATTACATTAAAAGAATAATATAAAATGTACTGAGATGAATTCACCTTTTAATATATAACGATATTAAGAGACCACAGCCGTTGCTATTATACTTCACAACTTTCAAAATAATCTCAGCCTCTTATCAAATTCCTACAAAAATTCCTTACAGTTTCCTCTTATATTCCTTCCGGGAATCTCCACATTCAATATCATGCTGACATTTTAGTGAAAGAAAATTAAATGAAAAGGATTAAGAGTACGCTCTTAGTAGCTAGCAGTTTAAATAGAATATTTTGAAGATTAAGTCCTGTAGAATTATTTTTAAAAGATTTCTTTTATTACTTTTTCATAATCTTTGATGTAGGATCATAAAAGTATTAATATTTATTATAATATATGATATAAACAAACTTTGTTATAATATAAAATCTAAATACGTTTTTGTTGTAACCTAATAGTGAATGATATTTAAGATATAATTTAGAGCATATTATGCAACAATATTGAATTGAAAATGTATAATAAGGAGAAATTAATAATATACCAATATGAGGAGTACCGTTGAATGAGCACAAAGAGCGACCTTAATGTAATGATGTTATTAAGGTAATTATACTGCATTGTGGCTGGCAGACTGTAGTAACAAAATTGAAAATAAATACTTCTGATATTGTAATATGAATTCCATGTTACCTACATTGAATATTTTATATTTCCAATACACATTTTGCATACAGATATTCAATGCAAGTATTATACATTATATTTAAATGGCAGAATGTACGTTAAAATATTTCAATTTATATGAAATTATTTATCGTACCTCCTACAGAAGATACAGATCAGTTAAATCAATTATTATGTAGAAACCTATTATTTTAATTAACAAGGAAAGAGGTAACAATATGTTAACCCATCGAATGGCGACGAGATTATATTTTCATCCGATCGAGGTAAAATAATAAATACATAAATATGGGGTTAGTATATATATTATAAGGGTATACTGTACTCAAAGCAATGATAGTATTCATGACACTGAAATAACTTCATAAAGATTTATAAAGCATATATATTTTTATTTCACTTCTTCACAAATGATTTTGTTAACTTACATTATAGATTATTGACTAACCTAGCTACCTGTTTAGTCTGGAAATCAGAAAAAATTATGTCACTTTGTATTTTGTGACTCTGCTAGCTTTATTTCTATGTTGAGTGATGTAGGTTTTTTTAGCTAAACCTAATTTTACAGAAAGCTTTCTTCCTTTGTATTGTTATTTTTATGAACAGTATTCTGTCTGCCATTTCCTTACAGATAGAAATGAACTTTTCGTAAATAACTCAGTCCCAGTGGAGCTCTAGTGTGAACATGCCGTTATTCTGACATTCTGATGGTAACTTCTGGGATAAGAATTAGAATAACCTTGCTTTTCTGCTGTATTTGCGACATGCATGCATTTTATTATTCGAATGTGTATAAGATATCAATACGACAAATGTAATATTATGTTATCTGTGCTATTACAAACTATTGTTCGATATATTCATCGTGATTTCCTAATTTAAAGTTTTAGCCCATTTATTCTAGATAAATGGGCTAAAACTTTATCCTATGATCCTTACTGATTTTGTGAGTTAATTTAGGTTTTTTCATTTATTGTTGTATTTGTAATTATTGTTAGTTTTATAATAATTACAAATAAAAAATAATCAGGAAACGGAAAAAAGTTTGTTAATTTTATTTGACTATTACTTGTACGTCTTTATTCATAAGGATGTCAAACCGCATATTAATATAAAATATAGTATATACTTCTTATTACTAGTGTCTGAAATCTGAAGATAATCGTGTCCTGATGCAAATGGAATTTGTATGAGGAATATCCTCAGAGTATTTTTACGTTCGACAAAATTGAACACGTAGACAACAAAGTAGATTGCGTTGCAAAATACAAACGATGTATTGAAATGGAATGGCTTTTCTATCTCTTTCTTTCACGTCTGATGAATATACCTATACAATTTTGTGTGCTTCACATATCACATACCTTTGAAAGTTTTAATGACGAATAATTCCCAAAAGTGCAAAGAGAATTATACAACTTATTTTTTTCTTTCTATAATTCTGAAAACTATTATAATATACTAGCACCATTGAACTACTTAAATATTTGTGGTATCAATAACTTGACAGTTGACAATGACATTGATTTTAGTATTAGTTCTCAATATATATTTATTTCAAATTTAAAATGTATAATCTTTTACGACACCACAATGAATATATATAAGATGTTCCTTTTCATATCTACTAAGTAAGTACTAGCTATGGCAAATAATTTAAAAAATCTTATGCTTATTGAAAACATTTCGGATGTCTTTTGGGTTGACTTTGTTACCGTATCTGACTCGCGTAATTGAAGTCTTCAAATAATATCCAATCAATACTGTTTTAACTCCATCATAGGCTTGAATCAAATTAATAATTAAGTTGTACTCGGTTTTAGTCCAATGTAACGAAATGAAATATGAACGACCATTGGTCTGTATTCTCTGCAGTGTTAGTGATTTAGATTTTATGCATGCAAATTGATGACGAACAGTCTTGATGGTCTCATACTAGCAATCAACTGTCATATATTCCAATTTGAATAGTTTAGTTTTACTAAATTTCAACGAGTAAAGATATATTATATAGAGATACTATTTATGAAATATGTGTATATAATAACCAAGTAGAATAATAATAAAAATATTTTGTTTAAATTGCACAATTAATGTCCCATAAATCCTTATTCCTTACTAATATTATAAATGCGAAAGTAACACTGCCTATCTGTCTGTCTCGCTGTCACGCCAAAACTACTGAACTGAAATTTGTTACATAGATAGTCTAGAGCCTGAGAAAGGACATGGGCTATATTTTAATGCGACAAAAGGATTTAGAGTCGTTG